CATGTGAAAGCTGGGCAGTGAATAAGGAAGACTGGAGAAGAATTGATGCATCTGAATTATGGTGTTGGTGACGAATACATTAAGTTCCATCGGCTTCCAGAAGAAGGAACGTATCTGTTTGGGAAGAAATATGACCAGATTGTTCCTTAGAATTGAGAATGGCTAGACTTTATCTCTAGTACTTTGGACATGTTGTCAGGAAGAACCATTCCCTGGAAAATTACATCATGCTTGGTAAAGTAGAAGGTCCACAAAAAGAGGAAGATCCCCAGTGAGATGGATTGACACAGTGGCAGCAACAATGGACTCAAACGTAACAACACATGTGAGCATGGTACAGGACCAGGCAATGTTTCCTTCTGTGGTACAAAGGGTCACTATGACTCAGAACTCATTCTAAAGCACCTAACAACAGCAACATTGCTCCATTAAGTCGTCTCCCAAGGTAGGTGTCACTGCCCATACTTCACAGATGAGGGAGCCAATGTTCAGCAAGTTTCCCAGGACCACACAGTAATATGTAACACAGAGCTGGGATTCAAATGTAAAGTTTCCATTCTTAAGGGAACAAGAGCATTAGTTGTTAAGGAGAAGAAAAAAAATTGTTATCTCCAAACCGGACTTTACTATCAATAACTCACTTTTCCATTTTTAATTCATGGAAGACATACTCAGAGCCTTCAGGAAGCATTAGATGCCAGTGTGATTAGTTAGAAGCAGCTGATATTATGGTCAGTGGCAAAGAAACTTTATGTTCAAGTTACCTTGTGTGGCTTTTCATTGTCATTGTGTAAATTACAATATCTACTAGAATTTTAGAAATCCTCATGCTAGCTTGTTATTATTATTGGTTGCCATTGAGTTGATTCCAACTCATGGTGATCCCATGTTTGCAGAGTAGAGCTGCTCCTTAGAGCTTTCAAGACTGAAGTTTGGAAGCAGGTCATCAAGTCTGTCTTGCAAGGTACCTCTGGGTAGGTTTGAACCACCAACCTTTCAGTTAGAAGTCCATGCTTAACCACCCAGAGACTCCTTGAAAATACCTTGAGAATCCCCATTGCTACCATTAACACCATACTATTAAGTATGCAAAGACCCTAAATTGGAGACTATGTGCCTTATATGTGTCATGTGGTAACTAATTGGGCCTCTGCTTTTTACTACTAAGATGAGGAGAATACATTGTCTTATTATATAAAACACCGCAGAGGCTGTGGAGACATCATCGTTAGAACTCCAGGAGTGGTGGTGGTGAGTGACAGTTATATTCTTTGCTTTGGGATTATAATACTTGTTCTTTGGTTTTCCAGATGAAACTAAGTTTTCTGTCATACCAGAAGTCATCTTTGAAGGGGATACAGTCGTTCTGATGTGTGAAAACGAAGTTTTATCTTCCAATGTGTCTTGGTATCATGTCGAAAGGCACACTGACATTCAGAACGGCAGCAGATTCTCGGTTTACACCTCGGTGCTCAACAACATGACTTCAGTGTCGCGCCTCACCATTCACAATGCCACTCATGGGGATTCCGGTGGGTGTATGTTCGAGAGCTTCTGTGAGAAAAGGATAAAAGAGCCACCTGTTTTAGTACCCTAGCACAGCCACAATAAAATACCACCAAGTGGATGGTTTTAAAGAATACAAATTTATTTTCTCGCTGTTCAGAGTCTAAAAGGCTGTGTTCAGGATGCCGATTTGAGGGGAAGGTCTTCTTTGTTTCCTTTGGCTTTTAGTAGCTGCTGGTAATCCTGAGCATGCCTGAACTTGTGCGTCTGTCTCCACTGCATTGTGTGTGTGTCCATGTGTCTATTCTTCTCTTTTTAGAAGGCACCAGTGAAAAGTGCTTAGGTGTAGGACCCACCTTCTCCAGGATGAAAATGATGTTTCATGAAGTAGTCATGGCACATGAAATGAGGCTATCATTTGTTTTAAGGAAATACATATATGTAGTAATAATAAATGATTTTGTATGTTCTATGCAGGTGAATATATTTGCAAACTCACACTAGATATTTTTGAATATGAGGCCAGGAAAACAATCAATGTTACTCTCATCAGAATTTCGACAAGTGAAGACATGAAGGTGGTATGTGATAATAATCTTGTATCTCTGAGATGCTGCAGTGAGAATTTTAATTGGAGTAACATATTATGGAAGCACGAGGGCAAGATAACCATTCCAGGTGAGAATATTACATGATTGGTCCTTTTGCAAATAGATTTTTTTTTTTTTCCTATTGGCCAATTGGAAATCTGAGATTAGTAGAGGGAGGAGTGTGGAGCAAGGTACGGAGGAAGAAATATCAGGTGGCTGTTAGTTTCTAGATTTCAGACTGTGAAAAAACACTGGGTTTACTGTAAGCTCCAGCTTAGCTGCTTTAGGCTGAGGATCTCCTAACCTATGAAGACCAGCATGAGTGCTTGGGTTGTAGGCAAGTCCTTGTAGCAGAAGACCTGAGAGGGAGTGATCCTGATGACCTAGCCCCATGGTATCTGCCTACAGAAAAGCTTGTTCCTCCCTCCTTTCTGTTTTAGCAAAGAACTAAGACTGAGGTCATAGACTTTGCGTTGAAGTCAAACATGGAGCTTCTAATTTCTGTGTCTCTACACTTGGTAACTGGTCTTCTAACTTCTCTGTCTTTGTATCCAGGTTTTCTTCTATATTATCTGTCTCTGAATTAACATGTCTGTCTCAACTCTTTCGTGGCAATTTCTGATCATGTTGCTTTTGTTTTAGATCTGGGACCTTATCTGTGATTCTTCACCCTCCAGTTTTTTAATTAATGATAATAGTCATGGTGATAAAATGATTAAGTGCTTGGCTGCTACCCAAAAGGTGTGTGGTTCAAACTCACCCAGAGGTTCTAGGCAAAAAGATCTGGTGATTTGCTTCCGTAAAGATTATAGCCTAGGAAGCCATATGGGTCCATTCTACTCTGTCATATAGGTTTGCCAAGAGTCAGAATTGAGTTGATTGTACACCAACACCACAACCATCGCAATGTTAATAAAGGAGTTCTGTGGTACCAATGGTTACTGTGCTAGGCTGTTAACCAAAAAGTTGAAGATTCGAGTCCACACAGAGGCAACTTGGGAGAAAGACCTGATCATCTACTTCTGAAAAGTTTGCCATTGAAAGCCCAATAGAAACACACAGAGGGTCACCATGAGTCGGAGTTGAGTTGACAGAGTGCCAGCTGGTGGCTCTGTGTTTGGAGAAACTGAAGACAGTCTGCTTCTCATCTTGAAGTAGTTCCCAAAGTCATCAGTCCATTTTATCCTGGGGTTCAAGGAATTAGCTGAAGGTTGCATGGGCTTGGTTTGGTTTTGACCATCCATAGAAGAAACCCTGGTGGTATAATAATAGTTAAGTGTTAACTGAAAATCAGCAGTTCAAACCCACCAGCCACTCTACAAGAAGAAAGACCCTGTGACCTGTTTCTGTAAGGATTTCAGCCTAGAAAACCCTCTGAAGGAGTTCTACTCCATCCTATAGCGTCACTATGAGTCATAATGGACTCAATGGCATACGGCACCAACAGCACCACCCACAGACTGTGAGAAGCAGGACCAGCTACCTTATGTGTGGAGGACAAAATGAAAATGAAGGGTCCTTGCTTCAAAAATTCTTAAGAATTTCAGCATGGCCAACGGCAGAGTATTTGACCAAATACGGGACCTTCTGAAACGTACATTGCATGTCCATGATGCTATTCTTGAATACAAGGGATATGAAAAGAAGGTTTGGACTGTGAGATGCTTTAGTTTTTAACAAGCTGAGCTCGCAAGAAGAAGCCTATCCTGTCTCCAGTTTGTTCTGAGCCCTTGCACAGCAGAGCACCTTGAAATTGGGTCCTGGGCGGGAAATTCTAGATGAGCAAAATCACATCGATGTTCTCCTTGCCAACCATTTGACTTGCTTCCAATCTATTATCCTTCAGTGCAGGTTCTTAACTTGACAGCAACTGGTTAATGACAATAATAACAATACTAAATTAATACAGCAATACTGACCCTGTTATGTATAGCAGTTCACGATTACCCAACCTTTTAAAAACTATGTTATCACTTTCAATCACATTGACATGTGACCACAACTCATTTTTACCTCCAGATTTCCAAATAAGGAAATCAAGGCTGAGATTAAATTACGTAGCCAAGATTCTCACAATAGGAAGAGAAAAGAGAGCTTTGGGACTTATTTAAGATCTCATTTCAAGACCAATGTTTATCTTGGTCAAGCAATATTACGCATATATGGTAAGCCCTCATTGGGACAAGCTGGTCTGGCAGAGTTTGGACACAGGCAGAAGAGTGTTTTTCCTTAGAAACCAGATGTTAACAAGATCCAGCTCTTTTCTTACAACATAACAGTATTCTGTGCACATCTTTAAAGTTGAAACTGCCTTTAGAATAAAATGTGGCTTTCTGCATTTAAATACATTAGCAGGCTGAGCCTTTATCTTACAAAGTCTTTGCTATCAAACCATTATTTTATCTTAAAGTAATAAAATCATGATCAATTTATATGCAACCTTCCCTGAGCACATCTATTTTGTAAAGCATGTTTCACCCACAGCTGTAGTATCTGACATTAAAGTGCACAGAATGGAAAAGGCAGCTGGTGATTGTTGAAAGGGTCACTATATGGTGCATTTAGTCATTTCCCTGATTTTCTAAAGAAGGCATGCAAGCATCCTGAAGGAACTACCAGAGGGAAAAGTTCTCTGGTACTGACTTTTAAGCTTCCAACTCTTAGAGGTGAAAACTCTTGCCCTCTGGCAAACAAACTCGGAAGTCTGTGGTGCAGATGCTCAGGGTCCTCTCTGGGACCACCCCTCCTGCAGACATTTCCAATGCCCTCTGTGAGCTGAAGTGACCACAGAACAATGGGTTTCCTGTCTCAGGGAACTGCCCTAGGATCTAGGCAGGTGGGTCTCTGGTGAGTGTAACATTGGTCTCCGCACCCTGCCCTTTACTCCTCCTTTGCCTTATAGAGTTGGCCCTCTCACTCCAGTTCTTCTGCTCCAAATTTACTTCAGAAGAATTAATCTTAAGGTAATATAGCAGATAGCTTGAAGGAGTAACTGACTAAAAATAGAGATCCAGTAACAATAGTGTATAATAGGATAGAAAACAGACAGCAGGGCCTGACTGAGTGGCCATGGGATGAAGGAAACACACGTTTCAGCGGTATAAGTTAGCAACAGCATTTGAAGAACACTGGAAGTGTGCATAGCAGCAGGCGGGGAGAGAGAGCGAAGGCTCTAGATTTGGAAAGATGAGCCAGTAGCGTACTGTAGAACCCTAGGCAAGAGGTAAAGATGTCTCAGAGGGCCTGACATTCAAAAGAATGAGCAGAAAGGTCTGAAAGGAGGGCTATTCTGAAGGTGAAACAGGTGGTTATTTGAGAAAGCCTGACATTGGAGCTTCCACCAAGAATACTATTTAATTAAAGAGATTGAGCAGTGAAAATATTTCTCAAATGAAATGTATACGAGATTCTCCTTCCTTTCTAAAAAACCATCAGTCCTCAACATGATAGATCCACATAGTAGCTACAATATCTGGCTCAAACATAGAGGATGTTGGCTAGGGGGTTGCAGGACTAGGCAGGGTTTCTTTCAGTTGTGCATAGGGCTGCACACAGCACCGACTCAACACCACCTAACAGCAACACCAATAAATAAACCCACATCTTTTATTTTTTACTTCCAGTGTTACTCTTACCCAAACATCTCCCTTTTTTATCTTTCACACACCAACGACTGTCATTAATATTACATATGTTAGGGGCAGGCCTTGGCTGGGCATTTATCTAAGTGCTTTTAATAGTAAATTTCTAAGCCTGATAAAAATCCTTGGCAGTTGTTGTTATTATTTATCTTGACCTCACAACTGGAGAAGCTGAGGCACGGAAGCATTCGCAACAACACTCTGCTAGAAGGTGGTGGAGTTGGGATCTGAACCCGGACAACCTGACCCCACAACATGCAGACTTAACCACTGCTGTCCTAGCCCACCTTCCCCTTCATGGAGAAGAAATCTAACTTAAATAGAATCCCCTTTTCCCTGATTTGACTTCTTTGTTATTAAATTGGAGAGTCAGCCAATGATGACAGCAAAAGAAATGCTTATGCCATTGCAGGAACCTCTGAGACAGACCCAGAGATCGGTTGTAGAAGATACACCATTCAAGCTGATGGAACCCAATGCCCAAGTGGGTCATCTGGAACCAAAGTTGTCTACACATGTGAGTTCATCGGCACCCATGGAGCCAGAGGCAGTAAGAACATAGAAGTGACTTTCACCTCTGTGGGTAAGGACTCTTTTATTAGAATTTTTAAGCCTAAGTATCCCAAAGCAAGGTCTACCAATGAACTGTAGATAGCTGTGAGCAACATAAAACCTGACCTTTCCTGGAAGAGAGAGTGTGCTTGAGACAAATCGCACAATGGGAGACAGGAGAGGACGTTTCCCCTCTGCCATTTTAATTCAAGATGAGTCATTACTATTGAGAGGGTTGAAAAAGGAGACCTGGGTCACACAGTGGTTAATCTACTGGATGCTGACCAAAAAGTTGGAAGTTTGAACTCACTAGCCACACTATGGGAGGAAGATGTGACAGCTTACTTTTTTAAAAGATAAAAGCCTTGGAAACTCTATTGGGCTTCTGTCTTATAAGGTTACTATGAGTCAGACTCAACTCAATGGCAATGGCTTAGGCGTGGCTTTGGTTTTAAGGATAAGAATGTAAATTAGCAGCTTCAGGGAAGACCCTACTTATACTGTACTGGTCAGGCAGAGGTGGACTGGATGATAGATATTCATATTCAAGTTAGTCCTAGCAGATGATTGAATTTATTATGAATTTACAATAGTGTCCCATTTCTCCTCCCATAATCCCATTCTCCCTTCCTTGTATACCCATTGCTTGGTTCATTCTCCCATAGCCCCTCAGTTGTCCCCCATCATTTTCTTTCTCCCATCTCACCTATTTTAGAGATCATTTTCTAGGAAAGTTTAGCAATATGAAATTTTGCGGTTATTTTACAATTGGAACTCCTATTTTACTTTTCATTCAATTAAGGCTTCAAGATTATTTCTTGTCTCATAGAGCATTATAAATCCACTCTGCAAAAATGGGGCAGTCATACTTGCTTTTCTACCCACCTTCAAAAATGAAATGTTTGTATAAATTATTAGGCCCCTTTTGTACAGTTTGGATAAGGTGCTGTTATAAGCATTATTTGCTTCATTTGTTCATATTTTCTATTGTTGTAACTTAGAGTAGTCTGAAAGAGTGATTGGTTTGGAAAAGTTCATGGGTATTTTGAGCAATTTTCAAATTTGTATAATGAAAGCAGTTATTCACTCCAAATTTTAACTCTGAGAGTTAGGTTGATTATATGGGCTTTTAGGGAGGCGTATTAAGTCTTTGCTGCAAACCACTGGTTTGGTCTTGGACCTTATCTGAGAATCAAGAGAACCTGATTTATGGCTGTACAAGCCTTTTCCCTCTTAGAAATAGCTAACCCTTAGAAAGCCCTTTTCAAGATCCCTTTGTTCAGTGAGGGCATAAGAGAGGCCCATTTTACAATGCTTGAATGGCTTTGGGCTGGATCTGAACATTTGAATCTCAACTTCTAAAGGACATTGTAGAAAGCTCTGCTTCCTTTTGATTTTGATTAAGAATAAGATTTTACAGTGATTGGGGAAGCAGCCAGTAGATGGAAGGCACAAAGCCATTGGCCTGCAGAGGGTAGAAGTGGAGGACATTTTGAAATGTCAACTATGTAAAAATATGTTCTAAGAGAAAAAGAAGATAGAACCAGAGTAAAAAATTAATGTACTTTTATATACGCTGTTATATTCCTGAGGGTCTTTGCTAACATTTCCAATGAATCATTCCTCATGAACCAATGAGGAACTTCTCAAATAGAAGAGCAGCTCGAGACTGCACTTGAGATGTCCATATATCCCAATTTTCTTCAGATAGGCCATATCTAATTTGTTGGTCAATAAACCATATGATCCCTCTACTTAAATGATAGCTCCAGAATCATTCTTTTGCTCACTGAGCAGCTATTAAACACTGACTATGTACCGGATGTGTTACCACGTTCTGGAGAAGCCAAGATACAAAAGACAGAGTAACTACCCTTGAGGGCACCCGTTTTGATGGAGAAGGGATATAGAATCCATAAAAATAAAATGAAGCATGGTATTACGACAAAGTATTGTTGAAATATTGAGAACGAAGTTGCTGTGAAATCCGAGGCATTGACTGTACGTTAAGGTGTCACAGAAGAAGTTGGAGGGGAACTTGGGTTAAGTCAACATCCCTAAGTTTGCAACCTTTTGCCCTACTGATCATCAGGAGATAATTCCAGCCACACAAGGGAAGTGCACGAGTTCGTAAGGCATGTGATGGAAATGAGTACAGTTCAGAGCACCACCGGAAACAGCGTAGAAACAAGTAAAGACCAGGAGCAGCAAGGTACCAATCCCATGTTGAAAGAAGTAGAGTCAGGATGGCCTGTTATTTCTCTCTCTGTCTTAAATTTCACTCCTCTGTTGATTTCACCAGAAAGACTAAACCTCGGACTTGTTGTCGGTTTTGTTTTGTCTGTTTTGTTTGCATTCTTTCAGCCAACCTAACAATAATACCGGACTCAATTTCTGTTTCTGAGGGACAAAGCTTTTCTATAAAATGCCTCAGTGATGTGAGTAGCTATGATGAGGTGTACTGGAATACTTCTGCTGGAATTAAAATATATAAAAGGTTTTATACTATGAGGAAATGGCTTGATGGAGCAGAGTCAATACTGACAGTCAAGACTTCGACAAGGGAGTGGAATGGTGAGTGAAAGGCCAAACGTTGTGTTGTTCTACCTCAGCCCCCTGGAAACATATAATATAGTTAGCATCCATGAAGGGTGGGACATTTCTACAAAAGTCATAACTTATGTTATCACATTAAATTCAACCATTATTGGGAGAAAGGTCATTATTCCCATCTTACAGATGAAGAAACTGAAACTCAGAGATAATAAGGAGTATGCCTACGTTTGTTGTCGTTATGTGTCTTAGACTTGGTTCCAAATCCTACTAACTCTATGTACAACAGAATGAAAAACTACCCAGTCTTGCACCATCTTCACAATCACTGCTGTTTGGGCCCACTGCTGCAGCCACTGTGTCAATTCATCTCATTGAGGATATTCCAATTTTTCATTGACCCTCCTTCTGGTGTATCGCTGTAGGAGCAGCACTGGACTTTGAACCACAAGGTCAGAAGTTCAAACCCACCAGCTGCTTCTCAGAAACACTATATGCAGAGTTGTCATGAGTTGGAACTGACTCAATTGCACTTAATAACAACAACAACCTTTTACCAAGCAGGATGTCCTTCTTCATGGACTGGTCTCTCTTAATAACATGTCCCAAAAGTACGTGAAGTGAAGTCTTGCCATCTTCGCTTCTAAGGAACATTCTGGCTATACTCTTCTAAGGCAGATTTGTTTGTTCTTATGGCAATTCATCATGTGTTCATTAGTCTTTTCCAACACCACGATTCAAAGACATCAGTTCTTTGGCCTCCATTACTCATTTTTCATCAACATGGATCTCTTCCAGTTGCATGTCCAAGTAGCTGTCTTCCAAATTTCTTGGCATAGATGAGTGAATATTTCCAGTGTTGCATCTGTTAATTAGAGCATCTCCACTGGTATTCCTTTAATTCCTGGAGCTCTGCTTTTCATGAATATTTTTAGTTCAGCTTGAATTTCTTCCTTCAAAACCATTGGTGTTTACCATATACTGCCTCTGGAAGTAGTTGAATGCCAACCAACTCTTTTTGGTACAATGGCTCTGTATATTTCTTCCATCTTTTTTTTCCCCCCTCTTCTTGCAGCATTCTCTGTTTTACTCATAAAGTCCTTCAATGTTTCAACTTGAGGCTTGAATTTTTTTCTTCACTTCCTCCAACTTGAGAAGAGCCAAGAGTACTTTTCCCTATTGATTTTCTAATTTCGGCTCTTTGTATATTTTATTGTAATACTTTACTTTGTCTTCTCGAGCCAACCTTTGAAATCTTCTGTTCAGCTCTTTTCCTTTATCATTTCTTCCAGTGACTTTAACTGAGTCTCTTCTAACATCCTCTTTGGTCTTTTCTTTCTTTCCTGTCTTTTTAATGACCTTTTGCTATCTTTATATATGTTATCCTTGATACCATCCCACAACTTGTCTGGTCTTTGGTCACTAGTATTCAATGTACCAAATCTATTCTTGAGATGGTTTCTAAATTCAGGTGAGGTAGATTCAAGGCCATACTTTGACTCTAATAGACTCTTTTTGTTTTCTTCAGCTTCAACTTGCATGTGAATAACTGATAATATGTTCTGCAGTTGGCCCTTGGCTTTCTTTAATTGATGATATTGAGCTACTTCATCATCTCTTTCCAGATATAATGAATTTGATTCTTGTGTATTCCATTTCTTGAGGGCCATGTGTATAGTTGTCATTTATGTTGTTGAAAAAAACACAAATGAACATGCTTTTCCAATGAACATGTCATTGGTCATGCAAAATTCTATCATATGATCTTCAGTATCGTTTCTATCATCAAGCCCATATTTTTCAACTATTGGTCTTCTTTGTTTCCAACTTTTGAATTTAAAACACCAGTAATTATGAATTCATCTTGATTGCATGTTTGAGAAATGTCAGACTGAAGAAGTTGGAAAAATCTTCAATTTCTTTATTTTTAGCATTAATGGTTGGTACATATATTTAAATAACGTTTGTGCTGCATTGACTAGTCTTCCTTGTAGGCATATGGATACCATCCTATCATTGACAGAGTTGTACTTTAGGATAGATCTTGGAATGTTCTCTTTGATGATGAATGTGACAGAATTTCTACTTAACTTGTAATTCCTGGCAGAATAGACCATATGATTATATGATTCAAAACAGCCAATACCAGTCCATTTTAGCTCCCTAATGCCTAGGATATGGGTCTTTATGTCGTTTCATTTTTTGACTTCCAAATTTTATAGATTCATACTTTGTACATTCCATATTCTGATCGTTAATGAATGTTTTCAGCTATTTCTTCTCCTGTTGAGCCATGCCATGTCAGTAAGTGAAGGTTCCAAAAGCTTTACTCCATTCACCTCTTTGGGTATGCTGTGACTCTGTAGGATAACCACTGGACTGCTAACCACAAGGTTGGTAGTTCGAGCCCACCAGCTGCTGTATAGGGAGAGCGATAAGGATTACTGCTCCTGCAAAGATTTGCATGCCTCAGAAATTCTATACAGGGTAGCTATGAGTCAAGGTAAGTACAGAATCAGCTTTGAATGTGATTCAACAGCACTTAACAGCAACAATCCACATCCTTAAGATTGACTCTACATTGAATGCCTTCCATCCTGAGGATTTCATCTTCTGTCACTGACTCAGACAATGTCATATGGTTTTCACTGGTCAGTTGTTTTAGAAGTAAATATTCAGGTCCATCTCCCTGGTCTGTCTTAGTCTGGAAGCTCCACTGAAACCTGCCTACCATGAGTGATCCTGCTACTATTTGAAATAGTGATGTCATAGCCCCCAGTACCATAGCAACTTCTAAGCCATCACAGTACAACAAACAAACAAACTACGTTGTAGAGGCAGGATTGGAATCCGTCTCTCTGACTCCACAGTTTACACTCTTGTCATTAAAATTAAGATATTTTTCCTACTTCTAAAGACCTTTTACAAGATTATTGGGGATGTTTTACCCAACTGTGACATGGAAAAAAAAAAGGTTAGGTAAATTTTTATATGTCTGGTCCCAAAGAACAGAATATTTTAATTTCTATTTTACTAATTCCTATTCCAGGACTCTTGGAGTCTCTGCGTGATGCTAACAGTTAATAGACTGTTGCTAACTGAAAGTTTGGAGGTTCTAGTCTATCTAGAGGAGATCTTCCCAAAAATCAGCCATTGAAAACCTTTTGAAACATAGTTCTACTCTAATATACATGGGGTCACCATGAGTCAGATTTGATAGTCACTGTTTACTATTATTATTTTACCTCTAGCTATAAATTGTTCATGTTGGGAGGAAAACCAAGTCAATTAATATAAGTATTGTGGCATGATATTATCTCCACAGTAATAGAGATCCTTTATTAAGCACTTAGCACATAACATGTTCTTGTTGACGTCGTGGTGTGGTGCTGTAGGATAAACGCTGAACTGTTAACCACAAGGTGTTGGTTCAACCTCACCAGCCACTCCTCAGAAACTATATACAGGGTTGCTATGAGTTGGAACTGACTCGACAGGACTTAACAACAACAATAACAACAATGCCCTTCTAAGTGTTTAGGTGTATTAATATATTTAATACAATAATCTTGAGGATAGTGCTATTATTATCCCCATTTTACAGATAAGGAAACCAAAGCCCTTGAGTTTAAGTAACTTACCCAACTTTATATATCTGGTAATTGGCAATGCCAGGCACAGACCCAGATTATTTGGCTTCAGTAACTGGCTTCTTGGTCATTCAACTCTGCTGCCTTTAATTAAATCCACTTCAGATCTGTGAGTCCCACATGTTATTTATGCTTTTAATATAAGTTTTAGGCAATGTTGTAAAAATAGCATTATTGTTTGGAATGGACTTTGTAGTATATAAACAAGAAATAAGGGTGTTTTGTTTAAGGCTGATCTCAGATCTGTTCTGTCCAATTGCTCTTTCCCACTATTTAGTATTGACTTAGGAAGAGCCCATAGCTTTTCTGGTCACATCATACTGTTAAAGCAGTCTCGTATTCAGATACTAAAAAATCTATTGTGATTTTGCTCTATTACACTTTCATTTAATATCCAATTTAAATTTTCCTTCCCCTCTGACAGGAAAAAAGAAATAGAAGGGAGCTTCTTCATTCTCCCTGTTTTACCAATTTCTGACTAGGTAGATGCTGCTTCTGGTTCCTACAGGTTTGGGGCAAAGAGAAGAAAGGTAGAGAAAGGTGAAGGATCTACTTCACTGTAGGCCCTATTTATAATCTTACTATACTGTCTCCATAGTGGTGGGTCATTTTCTGATGAGCCCTGGCATAAAGTCCATTGTTGTTGTTGTTAGGTGCCATTGAATTGATACCGATCCATAGCGACTCTATGCACAACAGAACAAAACACTGCCTGTTCCTGGGCCAACCTCACAATTGTTGCCACACGTGAGCCCATTGATGCTGCCATATTGCCAATCCATATCGCTGAGGGTCTTCCACTTTTTTTCTGATCCTCCACCTTACCAAACATGATATCCTTCTCCAGTGACTGGTCCCTCCTGACAATATGTCCGAAGTATGAGAGACAAAGTTTGGCCATCCTAGCCTCCAAGGAGCACTCTGGCTGCACTTCTTCCAACACAGATCTGTTTGTTATTTTGGCAGTCCATGGCACTTGCAATATTCTCCTCCAGCACCATAACTCAAAAGCATCAATTCCCCTACAGTCTTCCTTATTCACTGCCCAACTTTCACATGCATATGAGGTTATTGAATGCATGCATATGGCTTGGGTCAGGCGCACATTTTTCTCAAAAAAATGCATGCATATGGCTTGGGTCAGGCGCACATTAGTCCTCAAGCTAACATATGTGCTCTTCAACACTTTAAAAATTTCTTGTGCAGCAGATTTGCCTAATGCATTGTTTGATTTCTTGACTCCTGCTTCCATAAGTGTGGATAGCTGATGCAAGAAGAATGAAGTCCTTGACAACTTCATTCTTTTCTCAAAAAAATTTTGTTTATTGGTCCAGTTGTGAGGATTTTTTTTTTGTTTACATTGAGGTGCAACCCATACCAAAGGCTATGGTCTTTGATCTTCATCAGTAAGTATTTTAAGTCCTCTTCACTTTCAGCAAACAAGGTTGTATTATCTGAATATTGCAGGTTGTTAATGAGTCTTCCTCCAATCCTGATGCCACATTTTTCTTCATCCAACCCAGCTTCTCAGATTATTTGCTCAGCATACAGGTTGAATAAGTATGGTGAAAGAATACAACCCTGTTGCACACCTTTCTTAATTTTAAACCATTCAGTGTTCCCATGTTCTGTTTGAACAACTGCCTCTTGGTCCAGGTACAGATTCCTCATGAGCACAAGTAAAGTCCATTAGACAAAGTTATTGTAAAGCTCTTCCCAACCACTTTCCACAGTGTCTCCTCTGCTTCACTAAACCTTCAGTGTACAGGCTGCTACATTCCTCTCATCACTCATCAAGACCTCTCAGCATCCTTGTCTTCAGACTTTTCTGGAGAGAGTCAGCAGGTCCCTACTTGGCACAAGTGGTTTGTTCTCAGACACTCACCTAAAGGATGGAGGTTCAAACTCATCAAACCTGTTTGTGGAAGAAAGGCCTGACCATAAATTACAGCCAAATAAAATACTATGAAGTCATTCTACTCTTAGCACATGGGGTCTGAGTCAGAAAAGACTTGACAGTAATGGGGTTTAGATGAATTCAGATATCACACTCCTGGGTCTATAGGTCAAGCTCTTCCAAGAACTCTCCCATGCGCACTCCACTCTTTTATGCCTTGATACCCTAGAGCCTAAGAATCAGCTCAGTTGGAGATGTGGGCAGAGTGAGAAGGGTGGGCACAACAACACCACAACATTCTATCAAGGCAACAACTCTCTTCAAAGAAAACCCCATCCCAGCACATGCCAAAATTACCATGTACCCTGGTTGGTTAGAGAGTCTTGGAGTAGGATTCTGGAACCTGGTTTGAAACCCACTCCCACCCTTAACAAACTATATGATCTTGGGTAAGCCACTTAATTTGTCACAAAAGAAAGTTATATTTAGATGGTCACTGGTTAATTCTTTCAATACTTGGAGAATCCAGGAAGGAGTTGACCAAGCATTTTCGTCTCTAACATTCAGGAAGTTGTATTATGCCCTGATACAAACTTGAAAGGGAGTTGTTTTCTCTTATTAACCTTCTCAGCAAATACCTTTTATGGGTGATTATTTCATTCTATTTTATGTCTTCTTCTTTCTACTCAGGAACCTACCACTGTATATTTAGATATAAAAATTCATATAGTATTGCAACCGCAGATGTCATGGTTCACCCGCTGCCTTTACAGTCGAACATCATGATTGATCCTTTGGATGCTGCGGCTCCATGCAACAGTTCCTACAGCTTCAGGTGCTGCATAAGGAAGGATGAAGACTACATAGTTACTTTCCAAATGGATTCCTTTTTCTTTCCTGCTGGTAAGAGAATAACTGCTGAATTGTTTGGGCGATTCTATTTCACATATGTAGTTTCTAAAACGTTACTTTTAGAATAGGGTAAAACCAAAGGGACACTGTCAGAAACAGAATATGACAGAGCAGCACTCATGAACCTTTGCTAACCTTCTGTTCTATATTGGTTTATGGATAATATCTTGGAAACTGTGGGAGCTGGTGAAGATAATAATAAAACAGGATTCTCACTTTCTTAACATTGTTGTTGTTAAGTGTTGTTGAATCGGTTCCGACCCATAATGACCCTGTATAGGGTTTCTGAGGAGCAACTGGTGGGTTTGGAGCATCAACCTTGAAGTTCAAACTGACCTTGTGGTTCAGCACATTATCCCTACAGTGACACACCAGGACTGCTCCATCCTCCATGAAGCATCAATACAGACTATAAAAATAATCCCCAAATATTTTTAAAGGCATGTTGTTGTTGTTGTTAAGTACCATTGAGTCAGTTCTGACTTGTAGCGAGCCTGTATAGGGTTTCTGGGGAGCAGCTGGTGAGTTTGAACTGCCAACTTTGTGTTTCAAACTGACTTTGGAGTTTAAACCAACCTTGAGGTTGAGTGCTTACCCTACAGTGCCTGTTGTTAAGTGCTGTTGAGTAGTTTCCCACCCATAGCGACCCTGTATTTTCTTTTATGTTCATAGCTGAACATAAAAGAAAATAAGAGAACTAGGAGTCCTGATGTGGCACTGTGGGTTAATGCGCTGCACTGCAAAGTTGGTTTGAACCACAAGGTAGGCAGTTCAAGCTCACCAGCTGCTCCTTGGAAACCCTATACAGGATCGCTATGGGTCAGAACTGATTCGACGGCAGTTAACAACAACAAAAGCATAGAGGGGAAGAAAAATAGGGGTGTAAGCTTTATCTAATAATGGCTTCCCTGAACATCTGCCAATATCTTAAGTCCAAAACTGAGGCCGTAAAGCTCTTCCTCACTCAGCTGTAGCTCAATATGTTATTGTTGTTAAGTGTCGTCATCTGTTGCAACCCATAACAACCTTGTAAAAGGTTTCTGAGGAGCCGCTGGTGAACTTGAACTGCCAACCTTGTGGTTTAAACCAACTTTGCAGTCCAGCGCGTTAACCCACAGTGCCACACCAGGACTTCCTCCTTTATTGAGCACTTAGCACATGATATGTGCTTGCTGGAGTCCTGGTGTGACGTTGGAGAACTGCACTCCACTCCAGTCAGTGCAATGTCAGGACCCTTAATGGGTTTTATGCTCCCTGAAGGAATAGCCCAGAAAAGCAAAATCGAGCTGTAAGAAGTTAGATTTTGACCTCATCTCTAGGTAGGACATGAAACAAGACTTGAGGTTTGAATGTACTCTGCCTATGTGGATTGGCACAGTGGCATCAGCAGTGTGCTCAGTCGTCATAACTGAGGATGGTACAGGGCTGGACAATGTTTCATTCTATTGTGCCTAGGGTCACTGTGACCCAGGAGCATGGAATCAATCTGGTTATTAGAGTTTTTAAAACATTTTGACAGTCTGCATTTAACATATATGCACCCAGCAATTTCTATATGTCAGACACTGAGCTAGACACTGGAAGATGCAATGATAAATAAGAATGGGGACTTGCTCTTCAGAAGAACCTAATCTAATGGAGGAAACCACCCCTAAAGTTGTAGCTCTTAATGTGGCGAAGACAGGATATGCATTCTGATTGTAAAAAAACGTGTGGGCACAGATTTGGAGGCAAGAAAGGTAGAGGTAAAGTTTTGGTTAGCACACAGGCAAATATGGGTTTATTCACATCTAAGAGCTAGAGGCAAAAAGCAAATCAATGAAATCACATTAAAAATGAGTGTGGCACATTCCTGAGACAATAAGGACCCTGTGCTAATATACAGCATAATGAGAAACATAACTTTAGACAGGTTTATCCATATTATACCATCATAACAAAATTTGTGCTTTTGATACACATTTGGTGACTTAAGTATTCCTATAACTTTATCTTTAGCAAAAGAAGTTAATGGAAAGCAAGTCTGCTATACATACAAACACAATTTCATGGGAAACTCAGCTTCCTCGTGTCCAAAAGATGTGGAGATGTTTTGTCACTTTACCAATGCTGTCAATTATTCAGTCCAGAGTCCATCTATGAAGCTTACTCTAGTTCCTGGTAAGGACGTTTTAAATAATGTTATAGTCATGGGTAGAAATTCATTTGTATTCATTCACATTCTCATTCATTCATTCATTCAACCAATGTATGTTAAGCCTCTTCAATGTGGGCTTAGCATAGGGCATTTAAAAATAAACAAGCCGTGTTCCCTCACCTCAATTTTAGGAGAGAGATGGATATGATAAAATAGGTTATCACATATCATGTGGTACATGCTAGAGAGGTTATGAGCAGCCAAAAGAGGACGGCTTAATTTTGCTAGTGATTGGTGTGGAGGCAGTGGTCAAGAAATCCTTGCAGATGAAACCATGATTTACAAATCTGGGAGGCTCTGTTATTCCCTGGGCAGAGAAGTATGGACGGACATCATCTTTGTGCAACTGAGACTTTCCCTTGAATGATGCAGTAAAGGGATGATGTCTCTACTACCACTGTGTTCTTAAGACAGAGTTGCGTGAAAAGCATGCACCTAGAAGAAATGAGCAACAGTCTTCCCCTCTTTTGTCATCACTGAGTGAATATGCTCTCACTAAATGTTTTCCGGGCAAAAGGTCATGAATTGTGGAGTCATTTCTTTAATAATAATCCATGTTGAAGAGCTCCCCTCAGTAGCAACAGAGGGGCAAGTAGATCAATGATGATTGTGGACTTCTCAGGATGTCTTCCCACTAAAGCACCCCTGCTATTACAAGGCTCTCATTATTTGTGGTCATTCTCACATGATTAGTAACTGGACCCTAGACACCAAAGCAGGAAGCAGTTTAGAGTTCCCTCTGAGTCACTGTGCCTCAACCCCGTGGAAGAACTAACCAAGGTCAGCTCTTCAAATATCAAGATGCTTTATTCATCTGTCTTTTTTCTTCTCCTCTTTCTTCATTCTCATTTTCATTCAGCTTTCCTGTCCCAGTAAAGTAGACTCATTCATTTTAAGATGTTGATACAATAGCTGAGATTGCAAATGATGCTAAATAAAAATGTTCCTGAAGGAGGGTGTTGTTTTATCATTAGTCAGGGTTCCCTGGAAACCCAGAGACTCTGTAACAAATGCCACATCCCCATTCATCATTTTAAAGGAAAGTCGGAGTAAATGCTTCAAGAAATTGTCTAGAATAATCAGGTCATTAAAAAAAATTACAAAAACCCATTATCCTTGAGTTGATTCTGACTCACAGCCACCCTGTAAGACAGAGTGGAATGGCTTGTGCTTCCAAGGTTACAATCTTTAAGGAGGTGGGTTCAAACCACAAAGCTTTTGGATGGCAGCTGAGCACTTAACCACTGTAGCATCAGACTCCTTTTGGTGTTAATTCCTATGATGAATTATGTCTTTGGGGTAAGGCTATACTTCTGGACCTTAGCTGCACATTGGAATCATCTTTGAGGACCCTTAAACAGTACTGATGATGTCAGGGTCCCACCTTTAGAGATTCTGATTTTTGTGGACTGTAGTGAGCCTGGAAGTGGGAACCAGCCGTGGTTCCCAGATGATTCTGATATTCCAGAGATGAGAATCCCTGAATTAAGGCAGTGTGTCCTTAAGGCTTTTGGTCAACTGAATGTCATTTGTCTAGATTTTTTTGTTGTTGTTTTGAAATGCCGTGGAGTTGGTTCTGACCGATAGCGACCTCGTATAGTTTCCGAGGAGTGGCCAGTAAGCTTGAACCGCCGATATGAGGTTCAAACTGACCTTGCAGTCCAGAGCTTTAACCCCCACGCCACACCAGGACTCCACTTGTCAAGATGGGCACACATTAAGCACTTCTTATTTTCTCATGGCTTTGATTTCCTCACTAAAGAAAAATTCTTAGAACTCGATGTGGGATGATGCATGGAGGGTACAAATGCCATTAGTAAAAGAACTTAGAGTAGGTTAAGGAAGTCCTGTGTGTGTGGAAGGCAGTGAAGGACTACGGAAACTCAGAGACAAAATTAAGAACCTGCGAACCTTGGGAAAGATTACTGAAAATGAAAAGAAAAATAAAAACCCTCAAATATCAAAATTCTGCCTAAACCCAACCACACACATAGTCACTATCTTTTGATTTTCTCTCATTGTCTCTTTATTTCCATTTTTCCAATGCAGGGGAGAACATCACATGCCAAGATCAGATAATAGGTGTCGGGGAGCCGGGGAAAGTCATCCAGAAACTATGCCAATTTTCAACTGTTCCCAAAAGCTCTGGCAGTCCCATTGGTGGGATCATCACTTACAAATGTGAAGGCTCTCGGTGGACAGTGAAGAGGAACGACTGTATCTCTGCCCCCATAAACAACCTGCTCCACTGGGCCAAGGTGATCCTTAAACCTTTGACTCTGAGCTGCTTGGGGACATCTCTGTGTTATCATGTTTCTCATCCCTTAGGAAAATGGGCTTAGGCTTGGTTTGAGTTGTTTTGAAAGCTCCTCTTAGTTGTTCATTTCTCAAGAAGATGCAAGTACAAAATACTTTAAAATATTTACATATAATATACCAAGTATGTGTTCTACTCTAAGACCAGCAGCACACCTTGACTTTAACTTCTCAGTATCTTGTTTTCAGTATCTCCAGGGATAAATTGTGTCATCTTCTCTCTCCTTTGAATTATTTTGAGATTAAGCATATAGATCTAACCTTTTTAGCAAGAGAACTATATATTAAATAAGGTTCGTTAATGCAAGAAGAAAAAATTTCAGAGTTCTGAGATTTCCTCAATCCTTAGAGCTAACCAATACTCCTATAATCTGAACTACCCTGCCTCTCGTGCCTACAATAGAGGTTATTGCTACATGTTGCTGTTTGTTGTTGTTAAGTGCCATTGAGTCAGTTCCGACCCATAGTGACCATGTATAGGGTTTCTGAAGAGTGGTTGGTGAGCTTGAACCACAGGTCTTGGGTTCAAACCAACTTTGCAGTCCAGCACATTAACCCACAGTGCCACACCAGGACTGAAGAAAATTCTTTTCTTTCATTTGTTATAAATTGTTGTTGTTAAGTGCAATCAAGTCAGTTCTGACTGATAGTGACCCTATATAGAGCTTCCAAGGAGCAACTGGTGGATTTGAACTGCCGACTTTGTGGTTCACAGTCTAGTAATGATCCTATAGCACCACACCAGAGACTTCTAAAATTGTATGAGCTTCAATAAATAGTTACTGGTGAGGCCACCAATGAGGTTATAGCTAATGGTGGCATTCTTAGACTCCTCCCCACTGGAAGAAGAATTAAAGACAGGAGGTGTTACTGATTTATGTTTAATCTAATGATCTTCTGTTTCTCCTCTGACCTGATAAATTCACTAAAATACCTCCAATGTATAAAGCATCCTTATAGGAGCTGACAGATCAAGAGGTAAATTAGAACTTGACATTTAATTTCATAAAGAACATAATCCAGTTTGGTAGTTAGCTTTGGGCTAGGATAATCAAGAAATTCTGTTTGAAAAACTGTGACATTTGAGTTGGACCTTGGATATATGAAATATAATGAGAAAGATAGAAATTGGAATTTTAATTCAAAGTTTGTCCCTGGTGCCAATTCTAGGTAACGAGATGCATTTTTAGTGGAATGAGGGTGTGCTGTTGGTCTACCATGTTTTACTTGATTTATTCATTCAACATTCATTTATGAACACCTACTATGCACCAGATTAACTGACTTATACGGAGTTAGATTTTATGAGGTATGAGAAAGATGACACCTAGCCCATGTTGTAAAGGAGCTTGTAATTTCATTAAGAAGAGATAGAAAATTAAAAGACAAGATAGTATTAAAAATGTCACAGAGATAGAGTATGTTGAATACTGTATCTAAATAAAAGAAGTATTTATGTATTCATAGAAAGGAATTCATCTAAGGCTTTATGGGGAAGACGGAGTGTGAGCTCATTCTTTTAAGTACGAATTATGTGGATTTCCTGGGTGTTGCTGCCAACGGGTAATGTGCTCAGCTGCTAACTAAAAGGTTGGAGGCTCAAGCCCCAGCTAGGGATGTCTTGGAAGAAAGGCTTGATGATCTACTTCTGAAAAATCAGCCACTGAAAGAAACTCTCTGGAGCACAGTTTTACTCTGACACATATGGTTTGTCCACGAGTCTGAACTGACTGAATGACAACTGGAAAAGGAATTAGATAGTTAGGAGACAGAGGTATGATCTTTATAAATAAGGTGCATGTACAATTTATCTTTCAAACCCAGGCAATTTTGATAGTAAAGGGGGAACTGTTAACGATTAAAGGAGTACAGGTGCAGTAGGTGGTTCAAACCTACCAGCCATTCCTTGGAAACCCTGTACAGGATCACTATGAGTCAGAACAGCCTCAATGGCACTTGACAACAACAAAAACATTAATGATTACACTAGTACAGCAGATGTAAACCAAAACTGTTCCAGGTAAACTGGGAAGGATCAGTATTCTAATCATTAGCAGTCTAAGTGACATGGAGAAGGAAAAAAAAAGCAGAGTGGTAATATGCAAGCTACCCAAGTGACAATTTTGCTGAACTTTAACAGAATTCTCAAGCAATCACATCTACTTACATTCTCTTGTCAGTCATCAGGTGGCCATACATCTTACTGTTCTCCTTCTATATGTGACTCCATAGGTAATACTCCATTCTGAAGAGCAGCCTCCGAGAGTTTAAAAGATAAGCAAGTTATTCCAAAAAGAATATGCGATGCTATTGCAGGCACTTGCCAAAGGGATAAAATAGGCAATGAGTTCAGATGAGAGGATGAGCCAGCTAAGACTTCTTAGCTATAGAACTGGCTCATTGTTAGAGAAGCAGAGTTTAGAAAGATGAGGAAATAAGCTTTCTAGATCGTGGAAGACATGAATAAAAACCTAGAGGTGGAAAGAACACATCATGTTCTGAGGCAGTAAGTCGACCAGTTTGGGTAGAGCAAAACTTTAGAGGGGTGAGTAATGGCCAGAGGTGATCATTTGAAAGTTAAAGATCTGTTCATCAAAAACCTATCATTTCAGTGATTATTAAACCCAAATTTGGTGCCAAGTATGTACCAGTGTCAGGTCACTCAGAGGTGAGTGAAACGCAGACAAATAGATATTGGACTCTGGTTGTGGGCATAGGTAAAACTCTGAACATCAGAGAAGTAACATAGTGAAATAGTATTATCATGAATTTCATTCTGGTGTGTTAGATGAGGGAGAGATTTTAGGTATCTAGAAAGCTAGAAAGCTGAAGTGCATGTAATAAGCATTGAGAATGGGAATGGAGTAAAAAAAAGGAAACTACGGATATGAAGTATCATGGAAAGATGGCTGGAATGATAGGTAAGACTTTATTTTCTTGTTTTTGGTTTCATTAGGCTTTGATCAAGAGTCCCTCCCAAGATGAGAAGCTCCCTACGTATCTTCATAATCTATCAATTAGCACAGGCAAGGTGGAACATGAAATCAGCTCTTCCCCGGGTAACCTAGGAGCCATTATTAGCATCCTTGATTTACTCTCAACAGTTCCAACCACAATGAATTCAGAAATGATGATGGTGAGTTTATCATGCAAGAGTTTTGGGTCTTGTCTTTTCTTTCCTCAATACTTACGGTCAAAAACCATACTTCATCACCATTGCTGCAGCATCTCTATCTTTCCCAGAGCAGCGCAACGCTGTGGCTAGTACAGCCAGAGAGTCACATGGCATGCTCTGTCAGCTAGGGCTGTAGGATATTCAAGACTGTTTCCAAAATTCATTGTGGGAACAAACTTAAGATTTCTTTAGTGACTCTCTGTTTTGTTTTCCTCATTAAAATAAAATGAATTCTTATCTGCTGTCCAGGAGAGTTAGGGATAAAAAAATTTTCAGAATATGTACAGGATGGGAATCTCAAAAGTCTAGCACAAAATCTGTGGCTCAGAGAAGGAAGGGAATTTACTCACAATTGTTTCAAATGTTGCTGCTATTGTTAAGTGCTGTTGAGTCAGTTCTGACTCATAACAACCCTCTTCAGAGTTTCTGAGACTTGTCAATCTTTGCAGAAAGAAAGTAGAAAGCTTCATCTTTCTCCTGCAGAGTGGTTGGATGGCTCCAACAGCTGACCTTGTGGTTTTCAGTCCAGCACTTATTCTATGGAGCCACAGGGGTATTCATGGAGGTGAAGCAATATTAAAGAACAAACAAGGGATGGTGAGACACCCAGAGACCAGCAGCATATGGCAGTTACTGACACTGACTAAAGGAAAGCAGAGGAAAGTGCTAGAGCCAAGTGACAGCTGAAGCTTTGGAGAAGGGATCACTCAACAGGAACAATACAAGGTGGCTTCAGAAAGCTCAACATGGAATGAAAAGATAATGGAATTTTCCCATGAACTTTTTCATGTTTTGGAAGAGCATAGCTAATGCCTCAGATAATGAAGAGTCTGGGGGCTCTGGATGTGTAGTGGGAAAATTTATTTCAACTTGTCTCTCATCCCACCCTACCATCTCTTCCTGACAGTGCCTCCCATTGGTAGAACCCAAGTAGAGACCAACTGGCAAAATGACTGGGTAACAGAGCCCAAAACAAGGGTAGGAAAGGCAAGGCACAAAGGGAAAATGATGAGTCCAAATTTATAGACGAAAGAATCAAATTGCTTGGCCAAAAAACAAAAAAAAAACGATAGCTTTGACAATACTTGCATAGCTCATGTGATGTTCAGATTTTGAGAGGGCCAGTTAGAAATTTTCTGGCAGATAAAAATCATATTCACCAAAAATCTTTACAAGCTAACATTTTAAAATAGCATAAAATAAAAGCACTAGTAAATATATCTGCCAACCTGCTCTGCTGACTTGCCCTTAGAGTGTGGTGGGGAGTGGTTTAGCGATCCTTCTTCTGCACATTCTCTTCCATAAGAAGATAGGATGCAGAAAGCCACAGTCTGGGATGCTTCCGTTTTTGCTTTCCTCTTACCTGTGCTCACTTAGTTTCCAGGGGGATGTTTATTTTTCCCCCCTCTTTTCTGTTGGAAGAATTTGTTTGGTCTGATCTCATTTGATCTCAATTGCAGCATGTTCTCTCTACGGTTAATGTCATTCTTGGAAAGCCTTCCCTGAGTACCTGGAAGATTTTACAACAGCAACGGAATAATGAGAGTTCGCGGCTACTGGACTCAGTGGAGAGGTTTTCTCGAACTTTGCATTCAGCAGACAGCGCTGTTTTGTCCATCTCCCAAACTAATGTGCAGATGAGGGGCATGGTAATCAAAACGGGCCACCCCAAAAACTACCAGCAGGACTTTGTTTTCTCAGACACGGACCTCTGGGGCGACGTGGTCGTTGATGAGTCCCAACTGGAAAGCTTGCAGCCAGATTCATCTATTGTCACGGTGGCTTTCCCAACTCTCAAAACCATTCTTGCTCAGGATGTTCAGTCAAAGAATTTTGCACAAAGCTTAGTGATGACAACCACTGTCAGTTCCCATATGACCATGTCATTCAGGATTTCGATGACTTTTAAGAACAAAGACCTCTCAGGTGGGGTGCCACGATGTGTCTTCTGGAACTTCAGCCTCGCCAATTACACAGGGGGGTGGGACAGTAATGGGTGCTATGTTAAAGAAGTCCGTGGGGACAATGTTTCCTGTGCCTGTGACCACCTAACATCGTTCTCCATCCTCATGTCTCCGGACTCCCCAGACCCTGGTTCTCTCCTGAAAATACTACTGGATATCATTTCCTACATTGGGTTGGGCTTTTCCATATTGAGCTTAGCAGCCTGTCTGGTGGTAGAAGCTATGGTCTGGAAATCGGTGACGAAGAACCGGACTTCCTATATGCGCCATATTTGCATCGTGAACATTGCCGCCTCCCTTCTGGTTGCTGACACCTGGTTCATTGTTGCTGCTGCTATCCACGATCATCACTATCCGCTTAATGAAACTGCCTGTGTGGCCGCCACCTTCTTCATCCACTTCTTCTACCTCAGCGTCTTCTTCTGGATGCTGACGCTAGGCCTCATGCTCTTCTACCGTCTGGTTTTTATTCTGCACGACACGAGCAAGTCCATCCAGAAAGCCATCGCTTTCTCTCTTGGCTATGGCTGCCCCCTTGTCATCTCAGTCATCACGGTGGGGGCCACCCAGCCTCAGGAAGTCTACACGAGGAAGAATGCCTGTTGGCTTAACTGGGAGGATACCAAGGCTTTGCTGGCTTTCATCATCCCAGCCCTGATCATTGTGGTGGTGAATGTGACCATCACAGTGGTGGTCATCACCAAGATCCTGAGACCTTCTATTGGAGACAAGCCAAGTAAGCAGGAGAAGAGCAGCCTGTTTCAGATCAGCAAGAGCATTGGGGTCCTCACGCCACTCTTGGGGCTCACCTGGGGTTTTGGTCTCGCCACCGTGTTCCAGGGTAGCAATGCTGTGTTCCATATCGTGTTTACCCTCCTCAATGCCTTCCAGGTAAGTTCTGAGTGCAGGCCCCTCAGGAAGTAGCTATTCTGTGGAACAAATTAATGGTAGAAGGACAAACAAGAGTAAGAATGAGGAAGGATTTGAGTCCACAGGAGGTCCAAGCCCTAAAGAACAGTAATTACAAGAACTCAACGAGAGAGAAAGGACACATTCCTCTGCCTCCATAGAAGTTCATACTTTTATCACCAGTATTATAATTTAGTTGCATGTTCAACTCTCTTCTAAATGCCTTGGCAAAGTTCCCGGTAGTCCAGGTAGAAGGAAAGTCTCTTCCCTACCCTTGATTTTCCTAGTTAACCAACATTATCTAGAAAGAGTTTATTATCCCCTAAATGAAAATACCACTCTTAAACTAAGCAATCTCTCCAGTTAATTCCTGTAAGTATGCAATGAGCTCTGTCTTTGTGAGCACATCTGTCTTGTTGATGATAGCCCTAAAACTAGCTGCCATTGAGACAACTGTAACGCATTGCACCACTGTGCCTAGTAAATACCTTGGGTGAGAGTTGTTGTTGTTGTTGTGAAGTGCCGCTGCGTCAATTCCAACCCATAGCGACACTGTATAGGGTTTCTGAGGAGCAGCTGGTGAACTTGAACCACCAACCTTGCAGTTCAAATGGCTTTGCAGTCTGGTGCATTTACCCACAGCGCCACACCAGGACTGTCTCTCTCTATATATATGGTGGTGGTGATGGTTATGTGCCGTGAGTAGGTTCCAACTCATAGCGACCCTGCACAGGGTTTCCAAGGCTGTAAATCTTTATGGGAGCAGAAAGTCTCATCTTTCTCCCATGGAACAGCTGGTAGTTTCGAACTGCTGACCTTAAGGTTCACAGCCCGATTCGTAATCACTACGCTACCAGAGTTCCATGTATATATTATACACACACACAGACACACACACAGACACACAATATATATATATATTAGAATTTAGAATATTTAATTCAAATGCATTTCTCCCCATCCTTTACACAGGGATTGTTCATTTTACTGTTTGGATGTCTCTGGGATCAGAAGGTAAGAACCATATCAATTTCATGCTTCTAAAAATGTATGGTATCTGTGGTCAATTGGATTGACAATTTCTTCTTTAAAACAATGCAGGTACAGGAAGCTTTGCTGAATAAGTTTTCCTTGTCAAAATGGTCTTCACAGCACTCAAAGGTAAATGTTTCCTTTGTGGTGAATTCCCATTTTGTGTTGGAAGGTATTCTACTAATATGGTGAGAAGTATTGTTGCTAAGTACCCGTTGAGTCAGTTCCGATTCATAGGGACCCTGATATGGTTTCTGAGGCTGTAAATCTTTGCAGGAGCAGAAAGCCTCATAGTTCTGTCATTGATTGTCTGGTGGGCTTGAACCCCTGACCTTGTGGTTTGAAGTCCTGTACTTATCCACCATGTTCCATAATAAGGAGAGGTGTGTGACCCCACTGACGCATAGTGTGTCCAGGGAGTATCTGGTGGGTTTGAACTGCCATCCTGTGTTTCACACTCCAGTGCTGGTTCTCTAGTGCCACACCTGGAGTCCATGGAGAAGTTGTTGTTTTTGTTAAGTGCCATCAAGTCGATTCTGCCTTATAATGACACATTATCCCACAACGCCACACCAGTAGAAGGTACTATCCATTTGTCTTAGCATGTGGATCATTGGGGTTAAATGCATTGCATCCACAAACCCCTTTTCTTCCACGAGTACTTTTAACAGGGATTATTCATTAATTCTGACTCTTGCCTCATTCTGTCTGTTACACACATGACACTGTCATTAAGATACTACCCTCAGATCTTTAAAGAGAGATTTGAAAATCACTGATGATATAAACTGAAGTTGAAATTCAAACTTTCAAAGATTAAAAAAAAAAAAATCTGGGGAAATTCAAGGCGTTAAAGAAAACAATGGAAGACATAATGATGAGTAGGATTTTTCAATAGTTCATTTTGGGAAACACCTTACCTTACCATTTGACACTGAGTTCATTCTGACTGATGATGACCTCATGTGTGTCAGAGTAGAACTGTACTCCATAGGGTTTACGATGGCTGATTTTTTAGAAGTAGATTTCCAGGCCTTTCTTCTGAAGTACCTTTGGGTAGATTCAAACCTCAACCTTTTGATTAGCAACCAAGTGCATTAACCCTTTGCACCACCTAGGGACTCCAGAAAATAATTATTTTGTTGCAATATATTTTATTGTCTTTCACATGTCATGTTGTTGTTGTTGTTGTTGTTGTTGTTGTTGTTGTTGTTGTTAAGTGCCGTGGAGTCGGTTCCGACTCACAGTGACCCTGCACAGGGTTTCCGAGGCTGTAAATCTTTACGGGAGCAGAATGCCTCATCTTTCTCCCGTGGAACAGCTGGTAGTTT